CTGCCACACCACCCCCCTGCTCACTCCCCCCACCGCAGGACGCTTTGCCAGGGTCAGACCGCCCATCTGCGGCGGCGCTGGCGGCGGCGGCGGGCGGCGGCGGCGGCGGCGGCGGCGGCGCGCTGGCGCGCGAGGCGGCTGCCCACGGCATGGGGCTGGAGCAGTACCGCGCGTACCAGGAGGACCTGGCGCTGCAGGAGGCGATACAGGTGGGAAGGTGGCGGGAAGCAGCGGCAGGGTGTGTGTGGGTGTGTGGTCTGTGTACGTGAGATGGGTAGTTTCGGATGGCTTTCAGTTTTGGAAGCCGGCAGCGAGGCGAGGAAGCCTGCACGCCCCCGGGCAGCACGCCCCTGGCCGCCGCCATCCCCCCCTCTGCACCCACGCCTGCTGGCTGCCTGCTGCTGTGCCGTCCCTGTTTCGTGTGCAGATGAGCCTTGCGCTGGAGGAGAGCCGGCGCATGGCAGAAGAGTCTCGCCCCGCCCCCGAGGTGAGCCTGCAGGGCGGCGGCAGCGGCAGTCGTGGCGGCAGTACCACCAGCAGCAGTCGTGGCGGCAGCAGCACCAGCAGTCGTGGCCACAGCAGCACCAGCAGTCGTGGCAGCAGCAGCAGCAGCAGCAGCAGCAGCAGGAGGGGAGGGAGGAGCTGCGGAGCCTCCCCAGTGTGTAGGGAGGGAGGGATGCACGGCGAGGGCCCCGCCTGCCTGGCCTGCCGCTGCCTCTGCCCCTGCCCCTCTGCCCCTACCCCTGCCCGCTGCCTTACCCTGCCTTCCTGTCTGCCCGCCTTCCCCGCCTGCCAGGGTTCGGATGCCTCCCAGTTCCCCTCCCTGGCCACCCAGCCACTCAAACCCAAGCCCGTCGCCCCCACAGCGTCGCAGCCGGCGCCGCCGCCCCCAGGGCCACGCCCTGGGTCGGGCAACGGCCCGCCGCCGCCGCCGCCGCCGGGCCCCCGCCCCGCATCGGGCGGCGTGCAGGTGGCGCCGCCGCCGCCGCCGCCCCGGCCGGCATCTCGCGAAGGGCAGGCGGCGGCGGCGGTGCTGGTGGCAGCTCGCCCGCAGTCTGGCGGGCGCGGCGAGGGCGCGCTGGCCGCCGCGGGCCGCGGCAAGGGCCTGGGCAAAGCCAAGGGCGGCCGCGGCAAGGCCGCGCCTGCGCCGTACCCCGATGCCGAACCGCAGGAGCCAGCCCCCACGCAGCAGCAGCAGCAGCAGCAGCAGCAGCAGCAGCTTCTGGTGCCGCCGCCGCTGCCGGCAGGCTTCCTGCCCGCCAGGAGCGGCAGCGTTGCCAGCGTTGCCAGCGTTGCCAGCGGGGAGCGCTCCGGGCGGCGCGTCAGGACCGGCTTCCAGGCATACGCGCCGCCACCTTCCCGCGGCAGCCAGCACGCAGCTGCCTCTGGCCCCGCTGACGTTGAAGGTACCGACGACTTGAGCGCGGCCAACGGCGGGCACGAGGCGCCGCCACCGCAAGCATCCCACAAAGCTGCAGCCAAGCCTGGCAAGGGCAGGCAGGCCAAGCGCGCCGCCGCGAGGGCCGCGGCATCTGCCGAGGAGGCAGTCCAGGAGTCGGCGGCGGCCATGCCACCGCAGCCACACCACGGCTCTGCGGCAGTGGGGCACAGCCATGCCGACGGCTCTGGCGTCACTCCCGCTGGCAGCCTTGCCGCCGGCGGGCTGCTGCCGCTGCCGCTGCCGCCGCACGCGGAGCAGGCGGCGCCGCAGCAGTACCATGTGCCGCGGGCGCGGGAGGAGGCGGCGCCGCCGCCTCAGCACTATGCCTCGAGCGGCGACCACTACCAGCAGCACGCACAGTACCAGGGTGCAGCGCAGTACCAACCTCCGCCTCAATCCTTTGAGTACCAGGCACAGCCAGCTTCCTCGCAGTACCAGATGCAGTACCAGCCCCAGCAGCAGCCTGTGGCAGTTCAGTTCCATGCTGGCCCGCTGCAGCGCTCCCAGGGCCAGCCTCACCAGCAGGCTCAGCAGGCCCCCCAGCAGCCACAGGGACAGTACTACCAGCAGCAGGCCTACAGCGGCCAGCAGGGGCAGGAGCAGCCCCAGTACAGCGGCCAGGAGCGGAACAGCTCCTACAGCCAGCCCCACCAGGCTTACAGCGACCAGCGGTACAGCCAGCAGTACACGTACACCCAGCCCCAGCCCCAGCAGGCGTACGGCGGGCGGCAGGCGCCCCAGCAGGCGTACGGCCAGCAGACGCCGCTGCTGCAGCAGTACACGTACAGCGACCAGCAGTACGGCTACCACCAGCCCGAGGTGGCGGTGGCGGCACACAAGGTGTCACCTGAGGCCGTCTCTGCTGGCATGCCGCCACCTTCCGATGGCGGCGCCTACCAGGCGGCCGGCGGCTACGGTTACACCGCCGCGCAGCCCCACACACCCGCCACGCTGCCGCCGGCTCCTGTGCAGCGCGTGCGGTCCACAGGCGGCTACCGCCCGCTGCTGCACGCCAAGGCTGGCAACGCGTACGCCCCCCCGCTGGAGTCGACACAGGCGGGCAACGGCAGTGGCACGACAGTGTCAGGCGGCACTCTGGCGGGCGCCATGCCTGCTTACCTGTTCCCGTCCTAGCATGCAGCATTGCGGCACTGCCACTCGAGCCGCCACCGCCACCACCCGCTCGCTCACCAGCCTGCTGGGCCCCATGGCCCGACATGATTCTGCTGTGCATTCGTGTGTCTGTTGCATCTGCACCCTGTTCTGAATGCATGCATCTGTTGTAAGACCAGCCACAACAGCAACAAAATTTGAGCTCTGTCTGCTGCGGCGGCCGACACGTCAGCGGCTTGCCATTCTGACCAAGACGCGGCATGGGCAATATCGCTTCCCATTGATAATGGACCGCTGCGGATCCACCTCCATCAACATTTCTGGTTCTACGCCCTGACAGATCCATGCGATGGGGCTGCTGAAAAAACACAAGGGCAAGGGTTGTTCCTTCACCTTCTTCCTGCACGTCCACAACCTCACATGGACATCCACCGCCGGCAGCGTGTGCGTGCGCTATGAGCGGGGCTCTCACAGCGGGACGACTCGGGCGGCAGCGCCTGCCGGGCCCCGCAGCGGGGACCTGGCCACCTACGTCTTCGAAGAACAGATGCTCCCTGAGCTGCCGGCTACCCTCTACCAGGTGCCGCCACACCCGCCGCTGCCGCTGCTGCCACCGCTGCCAGCCGGACTAACCTTGCCTGTTTTGAAGACGCCTGTTGCTGAGTACACTCCATTCTTGTTCCCCAGCAGGACCCGGCGGCGGCTAAGAGGGCTGGCGGCAAGGGACTGGGCCCTTTTCAGGCCAAGCAGCTGCAGGTGGCGGTGGTGGCGGTGGACGACCGTGGCAAGCCCGCATCCGGCCCTCCCCTGGGCACCCTCACGCTCGATCTGGCAGACTATGCTGCACCCGACGGCCAGGCTCAGCAGGCCTTCACTGTGTCGGGATCAGGCGGGCGCGGCGTGTCCACCAGCGGTGGCGCCCCCACGCTGCTGTTGACGATTGGGTGCCGCGACGCCAGCCGCAGGGGCGGCGCCCCGCTGGCTGTCGAGCCCTCGGCGTCCAGCCTGGCAGAGCACGAGAGGGTCCCCAGCCGCCTGAGCACCGACAACGACGCCGAGGGTGAGGCATGCTGGGGGGTGTTAGGCTGTGCGTCCGGCTGGGAGGCCAGAATGGCTGCTCACAGCCGCAAAAACCCTCACCAGACCGCCTGCCTGCC